AGGATATATAATACTATTGACACTTCTCAAATTTCAACAAGCAGATGAATCATATGAGAATGTTGTTAATTGCAGAATGTGATACAATAGGTTTGGGCTGGGGCCTGGGATCCTGCTGTTCTAACGACTCCCCAGTAATGACAATGTTGCAGATCCTGAGACCACACTTCTAGTAGTCAAGAGCTAATGACCAATGACCGATTCAGCACCATGGTCAGTGGAACAGGTGCGCTACCACCATCACCTTCTCAGCCATTTCATTGCAATCTCTTAATATCCTCTGTAGTTGGATTACGGTAACAAAACACACAGAGGTTTTTACTTTTTTTTTTTTCAATCCTCACCAGAGGACACTGTTCTATTTATCTTCAGATAGAGTGGAAGGGAGGGAGAGAGAGGGAAAGAGAGAGAAAAAAACATCGACATAAGAGGGACACATGGACGGGTTGCCTCCTGCTGAGGTACATGCCCTTGACCGGAATCGAACCCGCGACTCACTGGTTGCGGGCCAACGCTCTAACCGCTGAGTCAAACCAGCCAGGGCCACATGGAGTTTTTTTTTTTTTTAATTACTTTTTGGATTTCTATCAGCTATGTGGTGATCCTCCCCTTTATATGGGCACAAATCTGGCCAGAAAAGAGAACTGGAGCTTTAGAGAGGGCAGAGGTTGCCCCTTTTGCATTTTTAAAAGGTATGCTGCCAGTGCTCCTCGGGTAAAAAGAATTTAATCAAGTTTATTATCAAATAAGGAAGTTAATACAGAATTCATAAAATATTCAAGTAATATTATCAGCCTCAATACTATAAAATATCTACTTGAAAGGAATAGCAGTCCAACTTGCACATTTGATGAACAGAAATTAGCAACATCTTTCTGCTGCTAAATCTAAACTACTAGTCAATTGTACACAATGAAAAAGAAAAAAATTAAAAACATGTCAAAGTGTTAGTCAAAATCAGAGTGAAATAAAAATGCCCTTAAAAATGTATTTAAAAATGTGTTTCTGCTACCTTTTCCTTTCTCCTGTGTTCTTTCCACCAAATTTTATATATATATATATATATATATATATATATATATATATAGTCTATAATACACAACTTTACTGCCTTTGCAAACAGGATACATTGCTTAAAAAACTGATAAAAAATTTTCCATACGTGTAGCTCTATATAATAGGTTACAGTGCAACACTATTCTTGTTACATAATTATAAAAATACTATAGAACCCAAGGGCACAGGGTAAGCCAAAGAAATGCAATCTTGAGTCATCTGAATAAGATGATTTAATGACTGTTCTTAGTATAAGTTTAGAGAACATAGAAGGGGAAAACACCATGCACAATGTTTCTTGCTAGACACAGGTGGGGGTAATGGTGAATTTCAGAGACATGCACACTCACTCACACCTCCATTTTTTCTCCTGCTTCCCTCCCATCCCCAATACATTCATTCCCACCTTTGCCCAACAGAAAAGACCAGGCACTAAATCCTAGTGAACCCATCCGTCTTGTTGGAGAATGTTAAGTGACTGCTACAATAAGAGTGTAGGTCCTCAACCATAACATGAAACAAAACTTATAAGACTTATTCCAAATTCTATATTTTACAAATAAAATCAGACAGATCATTTCCTTTGAGTGGTATTGTTTTTATTTACTTCCACTTTGAAACAGCCAACTATGGCTGCCAGCAGAGATACCTCTGGGGCTTTAAGACTATGAATCTGTTTCACAGCTGGAGCAAAGTAATTCAGATAAGAATCTGGCAAACATTTCAACTTGTTTTCTTTGAAGATACTTTTATTTTCTGGTTGAGAACCCTCTTTTCAAGTCTGGAGAAGCTATGAGCTACGCCTATGGCAAAAGAAAATGGGTATAATCCCATGTAAATTTTCTAATAGGCCTTCCCTTAGACCCCTTACATGATCTACTTAAGAATACTGTTTTTCATTCCAATGCATGTTCTCAAAATTAATTCATTAAAAATTTGCTACATTTAAAAAGTACCCAGAGTAAAAACGTTGATCTTCATATTTCAATATTTTTCTCAAACTAATTCTTGATTCCAGAGGATGAGGCTCCTTTTTTACTATGTTAATAAGAATAAAAGAAGTTTTGTGTGTGTATCTATGTGTTGAGGATCTATTTCACAGGTAAAGAGCCTTATATGTATTATTTCATTCAATTTTCACAAAAACCCTTTCAAATGAGTACTTTGTTTCAGCCTAAGGGATGGGAGGAATAAAGCTCGAAGTCTGTCTGTGAGCAGGTAGTTGGGCCGGAATCACAGGCAGGGGTGCTCTCTGCACTGCACACTCTTACAAGATGGGCTTGTTCTAGTGGAAATTTACACATCTCAGAAGGATCCAGCATAAAATATTATGTGTGAAGCGTAGTGCAGCTTGATGGTGAGAGGTCCAATCCATTACTTTAAAAGCGAATATGGAGCTAAATTCAAAATCTATTAGGCACGGTGTATTCACTGGGATTTTTTTTAAAGATGGAGGAATACTGGCCATTAGCAGATTGTAAATAATTTGCCTGCGCTTACCTTGAGCACTCAATGCCAGGGAAAGAATTATAACTAATACCTCAAGAGTTGCTTGGTCTACTGAATTGTAGACATTCCTCTATTTAGAGAACATGTTACCCTAGTCTTTTCTGAGACTAATAGTAATTATTATTTTTTTTAAATGGAAATAATTCCCTTTTGGTGGTCTTATGCAGTTCATCTTTCTGCTGCTTCTTTTATGGCTGAATCACTGAAATCTAAGTTTAGAAAATGAAGAATTGTCAGTAGCTGTGGCCATAAGAATGTGCTAAGTCTGCCTTTCAGGCTCAGTCATTCAATGTCTAAAATGGTTAGATGACCATTTTAAATATTTCACTGCTTGTCTTAGATATGATATCTTGTTTAATGATCTCTAAGGACACTATGAGCCTGTTCCTCATTTTGCAAAGCTGCTAATCATAACTGGGAGGTGTCCATTCTCAGGAGCTTTATAGGGAAAGGTGGCTTCAGGGTATTTCTTTATAAAATGTAGGGGCTACAACTTGAAGCAAGGACCGGTGAATCACACTCCTTTGATGGGTGCCTGGACAAATGTGTAAGAAAATCTAAGAGAGTTGAGCAGGTGGCTGTGGGCTAAAAAGTCCTAGATGCAGGTGGAGTAGAAATAAAACTACAGATGGTTTACAGCAGTGACTCATTTCTCCACTTCCCTCACAACCCCTTTAGTTTTTTTGTTTGTTTGTTTGTTTTACATTTTGATTGTGAAATTTTTACTAAAACTGCCAGATTTCCTTTTTTTTCCCTAGTCAAGATAGAAAGATTGCACCACAAGCAATCCGTTTCTACAGTCTTTTATCTGATTTTCAAGATTTTATTTTAATGTGGAAAGTTTTTCATGAAATTTCTCTCTCTCAGTCTCTCCCACCCTCCCTTCCTCCCTCTCTCATACATTTTTCATCTCTAGAAACAAAGTCCTCTTAAAAGTATTTTTCACATTTCTAGATTTATTTCTATTGTTTAAATGTTAATTTCTAATAATAAAATAACTGTACATAAAAAATAAGTTCAGCAGATCACATACTGAAATACAGAAATACACTGTACCAGAATGCTACGCTTGCCTTCTGGTCCATCACCTAAAATACATTCAGGAGGCACCCAGGGGCACACTCCTCTCCCAGGCGCTGGGGGCTGGGAGCTCGTGTGCTCTGACATGCTCTGCGCCGTGATTGGAGTAACCGGTATTCCAGTTTTACGTAGAACTTTATTTGCCGAGTTGACCTGCATATATGTAACCATCACTTCTGCCTCTGTCCAGTTGGAGGTTAACCATTCTTTTGGTTTACTCTGCGAACAGGGCACAGTCTCCACTCAGTGGATGTCTGGGGGCACAGAATAACCTGTATCCCTCGTTGGCTTTGATGTCTGGAGTGCAACCTCAGCTCTGTTCACCGAAGCCCTCAAAGATCCAGTCCATCCTCTGGGTCCCTGCCGCTCTGGGCCAAACCTCCGTCTGTCCCTGGGGCTCTCCAGAGCGGCGCACACAGGGCGGGCTTCGCAGCGTCGCTCCGGGCGGCTTTGCGCAGCGCCCGCGCAGCCCGCCAGGGGGACCCCGACCCGCCCAGGCGGCGTCTGATCAAGACTCCGAGGGGCGTGGAGCCAAGGCGCCTGCTCCAGGAAAACCGGAATTGGCCGGGGCTCCGCTGCTGCTCCGGGGGACTGGCGGGGCCCGGATCCCCGGCTCTCTGGGGTCCAGGTTCCACCGCAGAAAGGGCGCGCCCTGCGGTAGGTGTGTCCGTTTCCACCCTCTGGCCTTCCAGCCCGGAGAAGAGCTCCTGCAAGCGGGTATTTTGTTCCCAAAGATAAATTTTGGTCTGTGATCCCGGCTCCAGAAGTGCAACTTTGCGGCTGGGGCGCGGGGCTGGGGCGCGGGGGTACTGGAGGGGAAGAGCAGGACTAGTCTGCGTCCTCCAGGAGGAGGCGGGCCGCGAGAGCCGAGGCGGCAGGGCTCCGAGAGTTCCCACGGGTCGTGGGCGGTGGCGAGATTGGCTCACACTCCGGCGGCGGTAGCGCGGCGACGCTCCTGGAAGCCCGCGGGCACCGGACCGTGCCCCCCACCCGCCTCTTAGGTGTTTAGGGTGTAAGGTTTCGCTGGTGTCCATATGGATCCGAGCAGAAAACTTTTCCTTTCCCAATACCCGGGTCCCTTTTGTCTTTATTAGCGGTGGCGACGCCTGAGCTCGCAGTCCCTGTCCCTGGCCCACCGCGCCGTGCCTGGGGACCGCCGAGGGCAGGAGCGCTGGGATCTGTGTGCCCTATGGCGGCGTCCAGCGGCCCCGCGACTCTTGGGGGACACAGGCAACTGCCCGCCCTCCCCCCAGAGGCCGCCGCCGCCCCGCCAGTGCGGGAGTAGGGACGTCCCCGCCCCCCTCCACGGTCCCGCACCCCTCGCCGCCCGCCCCCTCGCCTGACTCATCCGCCCGCGGTGGCCGTGCGGCGTCCGCTGCCCGAGCCCCACCGGGATGGGGAGGGAGACAGCGGCTGCGAGCGGCTGCCGAGATTCCCGCTGACGACCCCGACCCCGCCGCCGCCGCCTGCGCTCCTCTCCAGAGGCGCCAGACGTCCCAGCAGCTCCGAGAGTGCGAGCCCGGAGAGGCGGCTGGACCTCCGAGTCCGCGCGCGCAGGACAGGTGAGGGGGAAGGAGAGGGTGGCATCGGCGTGGGGAGGTGGGTGGGCAACCGCTGCGGCCAAAACGGGGCCCTTCTTCACCGCCCCCCTTCCCCTCCAGAGTTAGGGTAAACACTGTGCTCTGAAGTTTGGGAAATAAACCAAGTCCGCCGTCAGTTCCGGACTCCCCAGTCCCTGGAGCGCAAGACGAGCCTTGCGGAGCAGCCTCCGGGATGCCGGGGCCGTGGCGCGCCTGGCTGGGTTTCTCCGAGCTACACCCTCCTTTGTTTCCGTTCCAGAGAGTCAGCGTTCTCTGTGACGACGTTCACCGCGTTCATTTGTAGTAGTCCTGGGCAGGAGCTGCGTGTGCTCGGGGCTTCCTAAGGCAACATCTGTATGTGGTAGTGTCTACATAGGCAAAATGGAGAGGCCAAGCGATTATTGCCAAATTCAGCACTACTCTTCTTCCTCTGTAGTCTGTCCTTAAGAGAAAGGGCTGAGGGTTTGCAAGATTTGCTTCATTCATTAATCATTCTTTTGCTATAATTAATTGTCCAAGCCAGCATTTCATATTGTATGGTTGTGAGCTTTCTGTGTGTATTTTCTGCCCTTAGATTTAGTTTAAGAAGTGTGTGTGTGTGTGTGTGTGTGTGTGACAGAGAGAGAGAGAGAGAGAGAGAGAGAGAGAGAGAGAGAGAGAGAGAGAGATTTGTAATAAAAACAATTCATTGTTCCATACCAGGCATTGGTAATGCCAGAAAGTCATATACTTCACATCAGTGTAATTTACTAATTGTAGTCATCCCTGGTACACTTTATTCTGGTGAATTTAAGAACTAAAGTATGTTGCACTAGTGTCTCTTACCTGTTTTTTCTTCTGAAGACCTTCAGAAGTAGTTGTGGACAATTGTATATACTGAAAACATTTCACGAGTCAACAACTGTTCTTATTTGTCAGTAAGAATATAAATGCTTTTGGTGTTGCAGTCAAATCAAGTTCTAGGTACACTTCCTGTAGTGATTTATGCATAAACATTACCAGCTCTTGTAAGAGTTGTTTACTTTGGTGCTTTGTCATTATAGTAATAATTATTATATAAAATGACCTTTAGTTTGTTATCTGGCTACTGATACTAGAATATATTGCCATTTTGTGAAAAGTAGGCTAAATTCTGAAACTTCTTAAACCTTACTTTGTTTTTCTGCTACTGTTTACCCATACTGAAGCATCTGCTTGTAGTTTTGTGCTTTTCAAACAGCTTAAGTAAAGAGTAAGTGTCCTTGTAAGCAAATTATTTCCATTAAGTAGAAACTATAGTTAAATGCTTTGACAATTTAATTTCATGAATTTTTTTTCCTCATTAAAATACATTCTGAGCTGTTAGGAATGATTTTCTCTAAGGAAAATAATTCTGTAACAGAGAGCCATAACTGTGAGATGATTTAGCTATAATTTGCAACCCTGGTTATGTAGAGCTTTGTATCCTAGGCTGGGGAAGCCTTCAGTGAAGGAGAGTTGTCGCGTGAAAAGTCTCTGTGTGCGATTTCCAGGCAGTTGGCACAGGAAAGTTTTACCTGTTGCTTCTGTGTCAGGTCCAGGAATATGCAGGTAGCATGCTGAAGTCACCTGCAATCAGAAGGGTTCTGCAGGAAGGATCACTTAAAAAAGGCTGTACTTGTTGTTTTAATTCTGGGGAATTTTTAGTGAAGCTTTTGCATGCTCCAGGAGTGACATTGTGCTAGTTGGACTTGTATAGTTTCAGAATTTTGACGGTACCTCATTGGGCAGAGAAGGGCAACCACTGATTTCCAGGGGGAATGAATGTGAATGGTTTGTTTAAATTCTCTCTTTCTCACGATGACTTTTGAAAGGGAAATACATTCATCTTTGGCTTAAGAAAATAGATAAAAACTAAGATGAAAGCAGGTGTCACTTCTTATATTTCTTAAGCAGAATGAGTAGAAGATAAAATAATAAGTCTTCATGACAATGTGTATTACTTTATCAAATAGAATATAGAGTTTAAAAGAGACAGTTTTTAATATATATATGTGTTTGTGCATATATATATGTATATGTATATCTATATTTCAGAGAGAGGAAGGGAGAGGGAGAGAGAGAAACATTGATGAGAGAGAAACATCAGTCAGCTGCCTCCTGCACGCCCCTGACTGGGGATCAAGCCTACAACCCAGACATGTGCCCTGGCTGAGAATCGAATCGGTAACCTTCTGCTGCATGGGACAATTCCCAACCTACTGAGCTACATTGGCCGGGTGAGGAGGCAGTTTAAATATACATTTCATTAATGTTACTCTCCCTAAATAGGCGATGGCATGGAGAGTCTACATCAAGCAAAACATTTGGAATAAGAACTTGTGTCGAGACAGAACAAACAAGTCTGCAGTGAGATGGACCTTTTATTTTACTTATTTATTTTTTTCCATCCTCACTCGAGGACATTTTTTCATTTTTTGTTCAGATAGAGTGGGAGGGAGAGAGAGGAAGAGAGAGAGAAAGAAACATCGACGTGAAAGGGACACATCGAGTGGCTGCCACCCACACGACCAACCAGGGCCGGGGACAAACTGCAACCTAGGTACATGCCCTTAGCCGGAACCAAACACGGGTCTCTCTGGACCGCAGGCTGACGTTCTAACCGCTGAGCCAAACCGGCCAGGGCTGGATTCTTTATTTTATTAAGGAATATATGAATTGCAGGTTTATCAAGTGTATCCATTTCAGGACTTCAGATCAGTTTTGTCTGCTAAGGTGTGATATGTTCCCAAGCACGCGGAAAGCACAGAACACTTGTGGTGTCATGCTAGCTGCTGGGGGCAAGGTGGCTTCTCCTATGGAGCTTACAGGCTGGTGGAGAGGGGCCTGGAAAATGCGCCACGAATCACTGAGGACCTGGTTGGTGCTTGAGCATTAGGTTGCCAAAGGCATTGGATGGGGAATTGGAAAAACCAAGTTGTCATCCTAACCAAGACCCTGATTATGTGGCCCTGAATATATTCCTTTGCCTCTCCGGGCCTCTCTGCCCTCATAGACAGATCAAAGCCTTGGACTGTGTTCTTTCCATCTTTTTAAAATACTGCATGATGAGTCCTAGAGGAATTAGGAGAGGCAGATATCAGAATGTAGTGGGGGTGGTGTTGGTGCCATTAGGAGAGTTTGGTTGGGGGATGACATAGGGCAAGGGTAACACGATGATAATAGCAGGTAAGGAGATCTGACCTGGGCATCTGGCCCATCACTGACAGTCTGTGTTCATAATACATAATAAAAGAAGTACCGGTTTCACTTAGTTCTTGATGGTTTTCGGTGCATAACAACCCAAGAAGTAATTAGAGCGGAAAAGTGATGAAACCAGGACTAATACTGCAGAGTACGCTTGCTGCACCAGTAAGCTGTACTGCCCTTCTGCAGGGTTTGTAGAGATAAGAGACGCTAAATAGGACACGCGTTGGAAGCCTTGTGGAAACAGGAAAGAGAGATAAGGTTTGGTGTCAGATTTTAGTGGGGGTTCACACTTCAGAGTAAAAATGTAGGTTACATTCTGGAAGATAAGGGTCTCCAGTTATGAGATAGAGACCTCCTGAAATGTCTTGAGTTCTGATCGCTGATGTTTGGTCTGATGACTTCCATCTGTGCTTCCTCTCACCTCACCTCCCTCTCCTCCAGCAGTAATTCTGGGGGTTTGGTGACTAGAGTCACTGATGAGACTCTTCCAAGAGCTTTCAGTGCGACTGGTGGAAGGGAGTTCTCGTATGAAGGTGTGGATTCTTGGCCATTGTGCTGTGAAGTAACAGGGTGTGTTTCAGTAGCAGGTTACGCTTTGGAAACTTTGTCGCCAGACATGAAATTACACAAGTCACAGGAATTGCAAACAAGGTGAGAAGATGGGGATCTCTGCATTCCTTCCTGTAGTGTCCTTGTCATCTGCTCAATGCCTTACGTGTACCAAGGGGAACAAGTTCCCTCTCCCACCACCCCACCCTGTGTTCCTGTGGAATGGAGGTGGTCAGAATTCCTCTGGTTATACACACGTAGAACCGACATTTACTCAGGTTAAGCAAAGGGGATGATTTATTGGCTCACGTGACTGGAAAATCCAAAGGTGGACTTTGCTTCCGTCCTAACTGGAGGCCAGAGACACACATCTTTGTCAGGGTTCTTCGTCTCCCCGCTTCTCGGCTCCTCTTCTCTCTGAGCTTCACTCCAAGACCCTTTTCCACATGCGCGGAAAGGTAATTATCCATAGTTCCAAGCCTGCGTGTCTGGGCTTTCGATCCATAAGAAATAGAGGTCTTGTCTCTTCCAGATCCCATTTCTGGAAATCTCCTGGAAGGGCTCAGATGGGCTCTCCTTCAGTGGTCATTGCATTAGTCTCTATGCCCAGCAGAGAGGAGGAAGTATCATTATAGTCAGACTGGATCGTGTGCCCAACACTGTGCGGGATACTGGTGGTGGGGTGGGGGCAACATGATGGACAGTTCTGTCTAGTCACATAGAGGTGTGGTTCTCCCAAGCTAACAATGCTGACGATCACAAACAACTACTGTTAAGGAGAATTGCCCCCTCTGTTTTGGAGACCGTCCCTTGCACTAAGATATCAAGTTTGCATAGTGGACAACTCAGATGCCATGCAAATTCCAGAAGTGGGACCCTCCTCCTAGCCAAGGCAAAGCTCAGTGATGAAATAATGCCCCTCATGTCTAGACTTTGCTGAGGACTGTGGTTCACAGAATATTATTGTATGAAGAGCCCGACCATTTATCTATATCTGCGTACTTTTAGCAAATACCCCTGTGCCTTATTTCCAGCCTAAGGATTTTATTTATAGAGGCCCTGGTCATCTAGAGATCATGAGACTGGAGACCCCTGCTTTGGCATGATAGGTCAGCGAAAGTTTGAACAGGGAAGTGAAGTGATGAACACAGAACTATTGTTGATACAAATTCACCAGGTTTGTGGGAGATGGGCAGAGGGGAGGCAGCAGGCTCCGATTAGGGTCG